TCGTTAATCCTTCCGACGAGGATCTCCCAGGCGTTGCTTCCTAAATGCTCTGCCCTCCCCTGGGCTATTCGACGAAGATCTCCCAGAAGTTAATCCTCGTTAATCCTTCCGACGAAGACCTCCCAGAAGTTCAGGAGCGAAAGAAGGACGTACACGTACATGAATCCACGCTGGCTTCGAGAGTCCGCATTGCGCGAGTGCTCGTATCATGCGGCCGGTCTCGCGGGTCAAGGGGCCGTGTTCATGTACATAGTTGGGCGCGTACGTCCTTTGTGGGCTCCCCAGAAATTGCCTCCTAAATGTTCTGCCCTCCCCTGGGCTACTCGCCCCCATCGTCGCCTCCGATCCCTGGGCCTGTCCCAGGGCACCCTGCGGCAGGAGAGGACCTCGACGGCGAACCGCTGTGCTGGGCTGTGCTCCGACAGACAGGGCGGTCCTCTTTCCGATACCTCCCCTCCCGGCGTGTTTTGCGCTCCAGGGAGGGGGGTTTAGCCTTGGTTTGAAGTCGGGCATGTCCCTCTACAGGAGGAATCTTCAAACATAGTCCAAACATATTTCGTGGGCGATTGTCTCATCATTTTTGCATCTGTTCTGACTATTGATTCATTTGTCTCCCAAACTCCGCCTGTAGGAGGACATGCCCGACCTAAAACTGGTTCAAACAATCCGCGCGGGACTCCGACAGATCGTGTGTGTGTGTGTGTGTGCTGGTTGTCCTTCTTCCGTCTGGGGTGCGAAAAGGGGTGAGGGGGGGGACAGGGGGGCGGGGGCAGGAAACATGGTGCGAAAAGGGGGGGAGGGCAGGAAAAAGGAGGTGCGAGCAGGGAATTGGGGGTGGGACAGAGAATAGGGTGGGTACGAGCTCTGCCGCACGCAGCCTGTTTCGGATCCACCGCAGGTCGGTTCCTTCGCCACAGTGGCGCCTCATTGGTGCCGGGAGGCGCCGGACAAAAGGCTGGATGCAGCTGGTTCCCTCTGTGTTGGCCCTTTGCTTCGGCCCCCTCGCGCCTCCATCGGCTCCTCGTCCTTCTCCTCGTCCTCGCCCTCCTCAATCTGTCTTCCTCCCTCCTTCCGCCCGCCCCTCTTCTCGTCCCTCCGTACAGTGGAGGCCCATGCCAAGAAACACCCTGCTTGCCTCCAGGGTGCCATGGGTTTCTTGGGTGTCGACTTTTTTGCTGTGGATCCGCTCGACGTTCCGACCAAAATCAATGGACGTCCTGGGATCTCAGGGTTGGGTTTCTCGTAGCATGTTTCTTGTGGTCGAGCCCCTGCTGTACGCTTCATCCTTTCCTTCGTCTTGGCATGCTGCCTGAGCTCAGGCGACGACATCTGCACAGCTTCACTGCTCCCTGGCCAAGGCCACCCAGAACCCAGGAGCTGTGCACGCGCCTTGCTGGCCTAGGCAGGAGGGCGTGGCGTATGCACCGCTGCTGGGTTTAGGCTGGGCCTGTCCAGGGAGCAGTGGATAGGTATAGATTTCGTCACCCTGTGAGCGGGAGCGTAGCGGGCCCTGGACACGACAGGGCCGTTTTTTCTCAGTTCCGCTGTACCGCTTTTGTTGCCGTCTCGGACGCCGTTTTTTTACCAGTTACGTCGCCGCTGTTTTACGGGTTCGGGCTCCAGTTCCAACCCTGGAGCCGTGTTTGCTGCCCTTTCTGGTTGCCGTTGTTTGCCGTCTCCATTTCAAGCGACATCTTCTCGGGAGCGGCAAGCAGACGGTCCCGCCGTCTCCGGGGCCCACTGACAGGCCAGCCACAACTGGGGGAGCCAAGGGCTCCCTCGAGGGCGCGAAGTTATTCGCGCTTCGCGCTTCGCGGTCCTCGTTCCTTCTCCCCCTCCTCCTCGTCCTCCTATTCTCCCTTTGGGAGGGCGGCGCGAGAGCGCGAAGTTATTCGCGCTTCGCGCTTCGCGCAGCGCGAAGCGCGAAGTTGGGAGCCCTAGGGGAGCTGTGGCCCTCGCCCCCCTGGGGGACCCATCGATCTCGACACCCCTCTCGAGAGATCGTCGACGCGACGGGCTCCCCCAGGGCGGGTGAGGACCACTGCCAGCCTCGAACGTATCCCTATCCCTAAGATTGACACGCCAAAAGGCGATGACAATCTTAGGGATTCGCCCTAAAAAAAAGGGAATCCCTAAATGGGCATCGTGATGAGGAGGTGCCCAGCATAGGGATAGGGATATGTTCCAGGCTGGTAAGAGCACAGCTCGCCCAGTTGTGGCTGGTCGGGCCGAGAGCGGGAGGATGCGGCCGACCGAGCGAGGGGGCTCCCCACCCGCGGCATCTCCCTGTGGTTCAGGCGGGCTTGTCCCTCTACAGGGGGGATAGTCAAAGATAGTCAAAACATAGTCCGGGTACTATTTTTGTAGTATCGGTTTACCTTTTCGGCGTATGTGTTGGTGTATTCTTCATATGTCGTCTAAAATCCTCCTGTAGGGGGACAGTCGGGTATAGCCAGGACCCCGGGTAAGGGGACCCGGTAAGTGGTAGGGCCCTGGGGCCCCTCGATTGGCCAGATTCATTAAACCAGGCTTGCCGTAACTTGTGTTTTCGGGTGACGGCAGTTCGGGTTAGTGGAAATGGGGCGGGGGGTCGCTCCCAGTACAAATCTCAAACCAGGCTCCACTAGACCCAGTTCTGCCAACGCCCGAGACAGGCCCGACCTAACCCCGTGGCCTTCGTGGGCTGTCACGGGGCGGCCCGCGGGCGCGGCACGAGCGCCCAGCCCTCGGCGGGCGTTCCTCTCTCCGGCCTCATGGCGCTCCTCCTCCTTCGGGGTCCCTGGCGCCTTCTCGCGGAGGCTCCGCTTTCCGCCACGGTTATGTCGGGCGTGTCTCCCTTACTTTCGACGAAAAAATATAGCCGAAACATGCCCCAAGGAGGTCCAATGATACTCAGAACATAGTCCCCAGACTATGTTTGGATTATTTGTTTTTCGCATTTTGGGGGTATCTTTCATTTGTCGCCGAAAATCCCCTTGTAGGGGGACAGGCCCGACTTATCGCCATGGGGGGGGGGACAGGTCCTCAGGGTAAGTCGGGCACGTCGCTCTACGGGAGGAGCAGGGCTAATTTTGGATATGTCCGGGGCATTTTTCGGCTCGTCCAGAAATTCCGCCCGTATGGGGGACGTGCCCGACCTGGCCTCAGGGGAACGAGTCCTCAGGGGGTTCGCCGCCTTCGGCTGCCCAGGGCCCTCCACGGGCCCCGGGGCTGTCAGGAAACGGATTGAGGCTGAAGAGCTTTCGGGGGCGGCAAAGACAAGGGCTCGAAGGCGCGAGGGCGCGAAGTTATTCGCGCTTCGCGCTTCGCGCAGCGCGAAGCGCGAAGTTGGGAGCCCTAGCAAAGAGGGGGGTGATGACTTGGGTGGGGGCGATTTCATGGCGCGGGCCATGATTTTTTCCCCAAGGTTTCATGGCGCCTCCTCTGAATTCATTACGCCCCTGGCCCCCCCCGCTGGGCCGCGCACATGCCGCCAGTCATGGTTTGCACCCCCCCCTCTTGGACACCCCCCTCTTGGCCGCTCCCGAAGCTTGCCCAGCTTGCCGGGGGTGGAGGCCCCAGGGTGGAGGCTTCTCCGGGGCCCCATGGAGGCGATCCGCGCCCCCGGGCTAGGGTAATGGGACAGCCCTGGGCTACTCGGGGGGCCTGCGAAGGCCAGCTTGGACGAGCTGGAGGGGCTGTCCTCGGGGGGGCCACATGCGAACCCTACCCCTACCCCCCACGATTTTTGAGGGGGAGGGTGGGGTTCACTTTGTTCGAGAGCTCCCGAGCGAAGTGAACCCCACCCTCCCCCTCAAAAATCGTGGGGGGTAGGGTTAGGGTTCGCATGTGGCCCCCTATGTCTTTGCGCCACCCGGACCCTTTCCAGATCCGAGACTTCCTCAAGCTCATTCGAGTGTGGTTCGATCTTGACTGTCGCCCGTGGGGGCGAAGGTGGTTGGGTCCGATCGGAGGGCAGCCCCACCACCGCTGTGCAGTTGTGCAGCTGCGCAGACGTCCTGTTTGCGCTGAGGCTGCGCCGATGATGATGATGATGATGATGATGATGATGATGATGCTGATGATGATGATGATGATGATGATGATGATGATGCTGATGATGCTGATGATGCTGATGATGCTGATGATAATGATGATGCTGATGCTGATGATGCTGATGATGCTGATGATGCTGATGATGCTGATACTGATGCTGATGCTGATGATGCTGATGATGCTGATGCTGATGCTGATGCTGATGATGATGATGAGGAGGAGAAGGAGGAGGAAGAAGAGGAGTTAAAGATGGAGCATACGAGGAGGAGCAGTGGTACTGACAATATGGAAGATACATTGGCCGCTCAGCGTCCAGACCGGGCGTCGAAACGCGTATAGTTCGGAGGTGGATCGACCTCCTACCCTGACACGTCGATTGAGGAATTGGCCGTTTTCGGTTCGCCAGAGTGCGTCACGGCCGTCATTTTTGCGGGTCCAGGTCCGTCGGTTTCGGTCCGAGGTCGTTTTCACTAAGGGGAGGTTTACTAAAGGGAGGTTTGTCAACCGCCGAATAGTCCACGTTGGATACACTGCAGTACCACAAGCGAGCAGCGTGGCAGGAAGGACGGAGGAGGGACGGAGCAGGGGCGAGGCACGAGGGGGGAGAGAGATGTGGAAAGGGACATGAGATGAGGAGCGCGGGGAGGAGGCGAGGCACGGGGGCCGAGAGGCGTGGAGAGCGGGGGAGGGCAACGGGCGGGGGGCACTCGGGACCGAGACGGAGGAGAGGGGGGGGCATGAGTGAAGAGAAGGAGCTCCGCCTCCGCCTCCTCCGCCGCCCCCTCCCCTTCCCCTTCTCCTCCCTCTCCTCCTCCTTCTCCTCCTCCTCCTCCTCCTCCCTCCTCCTCCTCCTCCTCTCTCCTCCTGGGACGGGAGGCGAGGGAGGAGGGCGAGGACGACGAGGACCGAGGAGGGGCGAGGGCGAGCGACGGGCTAGCTAGCATCCCAGCCGCCGCCGCAAGAAGGACCCCTTCACAGATGGTGAGCCGGAGCCCGCCGCGGCCGTGCTCCGCGTCCGGTTTCACAGCTCGGAGGAAGACAAAGGAGGAAGGGAGGGAGGGAGGGAGGGAGGGAGGGAGGGAGGGGAGGGGGGAGGGAGGAAGGGAGGGAGAAGGAGAAGGAGGAGGAGGAGGATGAGGAGGAGAGGACAATGAGGGAGGTGGAGGAGGACGGAGGGGGAGGAGGAGGAGGATGGGGAGGAGAAGGAAGAGGAGGAGAGGAGGAGGAGGAGGAGAGGAGGAGGAGGGGGAGGAGGAGGAGGAGGAGGAGGTGGAGGAGGAGGAGGAGGAGGAGGAGGAGGAGGAGGATGAGAAGGAGGAGGAGGAGGAGGAGAAGGAGGAGGAGGAGGAGGAGGAGGAGGAGGAGGAGAGGGGGGCCCAGGCGGAGGAGGAGGAGGGGGAGGAGGAGAAGGAGGAGGACAGAAGGAGGATCAGACGCAGGAGCAGGAGCAACAGCAGGAGCAGGAGCAGGAGCAAGAACAGCACGTGGAGGAGCAGGACGAGGAGGAGGAGGAGGAGGGAGGGGCAGGAAAACGATGCTGATTGGGTGGTGATGCTGATGATTGTGATGATGGTGATGCTGCTGCTGCTGCTGCTGCTGCTGCTGATGATGATGATGATGATGATGATGATGATGATGATGATGAAAATGATGATGATGCTGCTGATGATGATAATGATGATGCTGTTGCTTGTGCTGATGTTGATGCTGATTATGATGCTGATGCTGCTCCTGCTGATGATGAGGATGATGATGATTCTGATGACGACGACGGTGACGATGACGATGCCGATGACGATGATGATGAAAAGGTCGATGATGATACTGCTGATGCTGATGATGACGATGCTGATGGTGGTGGTGCCGATGGTGATGATGCTGATGAAGCTGATACTGTTGATGGTGTTGATGTTGATGATGATGGTGACGATGGTGACGATGATGCTGATGATGCTGATGCTTGTGATAATGGTTATGCTGAGTATGGTGATGTTGATGATGTTGCTGCGGCTGATGATCACAATGACGGTGGTGCTGCTGCGGGTGATGACGATGTTGATAATGATGATGACGGTGATGATGACGATGATGAGGAGGATGATGATGCTGATGCTGATTATATTGATGATGGTGGTGAAGCTGTTGATGCTGATGATGATGATGCCGATGCCGATGATGATGCTGATGCCGATGCTGATGCTGATGCTGCTGCTAATGATGATGATGCTGGTTATCATGATTATGATGATGATGCTGCTGATACTGATGCTGATGATGAGGATAATGATGAGGTTGCGGGTAAAGTTGGTCATGATGATATTGAGGATGATGATGATGATGATGAGGCTGAGGAGGATGATTATGATTATGATTACGATGACTGTGTCAATGATGATGACGATGATGATGCCGATCATGATACAATTGATGATGGTGATGCTGCTGCTGGTGATGCTGATTATGATGATATTGATGCTGATGAGGTTGATGATGCTGCTGCTGATGATGATGCTGTTGCTGACGCTGCTGCTGCTGATGATGATGATGTCAATGATGATGATGATGCTGCAACTGATGATGATGCTGCTGATGCTGATGATGGTGATGCTGCTGATGATGATGATGATGCTGATGATGCTGATGATGATGATGCTGATGATCATGATGACGATGATGCTAATGTTGATGATGATGATGATGCTGATGATGATGCTGCTGCTGATGATGATGCTGCTGCTGATGATGATGGTGATGATGATGATGATGGTGATGATGATGATGATGATGATGATGATGATCATGATCATGATGGTGATGATGATGATGATGATGATGATGATGATGATGATGATGATGATGATGATGATGATGATGATGATGATGATGATGATGATGATGATGATGATGAGGATGAAGAGGGAGGAGGAGGAGGAGGAGGAGGAGGAGGAGGAGGAGGAGGGGGAGGAGGGGAGGAGCGGGAGGAGGCGGAGTTGGAGAAGGAGGAGGAGGAGGAGGATGAGCTGAGGTAGGAGGAGGAGGATGTGGAGGATTCGAGGATTCTGGAAGGATTCGAGGATCATAGGCTGAGGCGGGGCATCGACTCCCAGTTGTTCATTGCTTGCCTGATAGGGGCCCGATTGCCCACCCTGCCCAGCAGCGTGCGGATTTGCATCGGTAGCCTATTGCCGATGTGTCGGCGATGCATCGCCGAGGCGAGCTCGTTGCTCCCCCCTGAGCTGCCCCCCCAACGTCTCCCCCTAAGGAAGCGGAGAGGGGGAGACTCATGGGGAGTGTTGGGCGCGTCCTCATGGTGCTCCCGGCCACGGTGTCCACACGCCTTGCCCGAGCGGTGTGGCGGGTGCTAGTGCCACGGGCCGGCCCGAGAGGCCGGGAGGGGCGAGGGGACGAGGGAGGAGCGGGAGGCGGAGGAGGAGGAGGAAGAGGAGGAGGATGAGGAGGAGGAGGAAGAGGAGGAGGAGGAGGGGTAGGAAGATGAGGAGGAGGAGGTAGAGGAGGAGGAGGGGTAGGAGGAGAGGAGGAGGAGGAGGAGAGGAAGGGAGGAGGAGGAGGAGGAGGCGGAGGAGGAGGAGGAGGAGGGAGGAGGAGGAGGAGGAGGAGGAGGAGGAGGAGGAGGAGGATGAGCAGGAGGAGGAGGAGGATGGGGTGGGGTCTGTGAAGCGCAGGCGTGAATGAAAAGGTCCGTGGGAGGATCGACGGGCCCCGTTCCGACTCGACATCGGCGCGTTCCGTGACCAACTCAGCTGGCTTGGTTTCGTGTTTCTGGCGGTATTGTCCCCGATCTGTGGATCCTCCTCCTCCTCTTCCTCCTCCTCCGGCCTCTTCCTCCGCCTCCTCCTCCCTCCTCCTCCTCCTCCTCCTCCTCCTCCTCCTCTTCCTCCTCCTCCTCCTCCTCCTCCCCTCCTCCTCCTCTTCCACCCTCCTCTCCTCCTCTCCTTCCTCTCCCTCTTCCTCCTCCTCCTCTCCTCCTCCTCCTCCTCCTCCTCCTCCTCCTCCTCCTCCTCCTCCCCACGCGCCCACGCGCCAGAGCTGCGGATCGTGCCTGTGGCGGTATCTTTCCCCGATGCGTGGATATGGCGCCCACGCGCCAGATCTGTGGATCCGTAATCCCTGTTAGCGAGCGCACGATGGGGGGAGGGGGTGGAGGCGGGAAAGGGGAGTGCTTTCCCGAGGAGGGGATCAGTGAGGGGAAAGGGAGGGGAGAGGACATCGGTGGAGGAGCGGAGGAGTGAGGCGGGGGAAGCGCCAGGAGCGGAGGAGGGAGGCGTGGGAAGCGCCAGGAGCGGAGGAGGCACGAGGGGAAGAGCGAGGAGCGGGGTGGGAGAAGAGCAAGCAGAGCGAGGCTGGGGAGCGGCGGCCAGGCCGGGAGGCGGGGCGGGAGTAGCGAGAGGAGGGGAGGGAGGCGTCCAGGAGGAGAGGGGAGGAGGCCTCGGCTGTGGCGGCGGCTCCCGGGGGTGCCATTCGCGCCCCTTTCCGGGCGCGCACTCTTTTTGTGCAGCGCGTGAGTCGGGCCCGAGGCGGCCGACCGCCTCATCGGGCCGAGAGGCCCGGGGCGGGGCGGCCCTTCGCTTCTCGCGGCACCCAGCACCGCGGGAGCAGGAGGAGGAGGAGGAGGAGGTGGCGGAGGACACAGGGACGCAGGGAGGAGGACGCAGGGAAGAGGAGGGAGGAGGGGGAGGACGCAGGGAGGAGGACGCAGGGATGACGAGGAGGACGCAAGGAGAAGGAGGAGGACGCAGGGAGGAGGAGGAGGAGGAGGAGGAGGAGGAGGAGGAGGAGGAGGAGGAGGTGTCTTCGACGGTTTTTGTTTGGTGGTCAGAGGTTTCTTTTCCGGGGCGGCTCTGTGCGCCGCTCCTGGGGGCACTCCTCGTGGCCACGGCTGGATTCGGCCTGCCGCCGCTCCTCGCACCCGTCCTGCTCCACGTCGCCCCCCTCGTCCTGCTCGTGTCCCTCGCTCCGGTCCCGCCGCCTCCGCGCGCTCCTCCTCGGCTTCCATTTCCTCCAGCTCCTCTCTCCCCCCCCCGCTCCTTCTGCTGCAGCTCCGCCTCGCCTTCCTTCTCTGCTCCTGCTCACCATCCGTCATGCTCCTTTCCTGGCCTTGCCCTGGTCTTCCTCTCCCCCCCCCGCATCCTCCCCCCGATGTGCGGTGTCCCTCCCTGTGGTTTCGGGTGCTCCTGGAAACTTTGGCAGTGAGCCTCCACTGGAGGGCCCTCGGCGCCTTGGTCTTGCGGGAGCCTGGGGCCTCGGCACCGAGGCCAACCTCTGGCCACGTTCTCCCCCGTCGTCTTGCCGATCATGCTCGGAGATAAAACTAACCATGCATTATTAACATCTACGCTGCGTAAATAGAAACTTTCAAAGTTGCGTAAATGTATAACCTTGCAGGAGCTGCGTAGGTATAATATTTCGAAACTCCGCGCGGATTTCTGAGATCTGCGCTGACCCCGCACTGCCTGGCGCGCCGAGCGCGCCAGAGGGGCGCTGGAGGCGCCACCAGGGGGTCGCAGTGGCGATCCGAGGAGCTTTTCCTAACGTGAACGGGAAGCGCGTGAGAGGGAAGAATTGCGCAAGAACGTGCAGCATAATCGCGATCATATGTAACATAGGCGAGCTCTCCGAACGTTCACAAGGGATACGTATGTTCACTCACCCCCCCGAACGTTCACAAGCATATTCCTGATTATCCTCTTGACTCCTCCGCATGAGGAGGACGACGGCGAACACGACGACCTGGGGAGGAGGGGGAGGAGGAGGAGGAGGAGAAGGAGGAGGAGGAGGAGGAGGAGGTGGAGCAGCAGCAGCAGCAGCAGCAGGAAAAAGGGGGTGAGGAGGACGAGGAAGAGAAGGACGAGGAGGAAGGGGGACGAGGAAGAGGAGGAACATGAACAGGAGGATGGGGGAGGAGGAGGACAACGAGTAGGAGGAGGAGGAGGAGGAGGAGGAGGAGGCGGCGGAGGGAGAAGGAGGAGGAGGAGGAGGAGGAAGAGGACGAGGAGGAGGAACAGCAGGGGGCGGATGATGATGATGATGAGGAGGAGGAGGAGGAGGAGGAGAAGCAGGAAGAGGAGGAGGAGGAGGAGAAGGAGGAGAAGGAGGAGGATACCAGATGATTTCGAGGGGCAACTCGGAGGCATTATCTAAGGGATGTCTCGACGGAAACGCATAACGCAATCGTGTTGAGAAAGCCTGCGGTGTTTCAATGCATTCGCTTCTTAGGCCAACTTGGAGGTCATTCAAAGGTGCTCCGAACAGATGTCTTGGTTCGGCGCTGACCCCCCACTGCCTGGCGCGCCGAGTGCGGCAGGGGCGGCGCTGGAGGCGCCGCCAGGGGGTCCCAGCGGCGATCCGAGAAGCTTTTCCTGACGTGAACGGGAAGCGCGTGAAAGGGAAGAATTGCGCAAGAACGTGCAGCATACTCGCGATCAGATGTAACATAGGCGAGCTCTCCGAACGCCAACAAGGGATACGCATGGACACGCTCCCCTCCGAACGTTCACACGCATATCTTCCTGATTATCCTCCTGACTCCTCCGCATGAGGAGGACGACGGCGAACACGACGACCTGGGGAGGAGGGGGGGCGAAGGCGGAGGAGGAGGAGGTGGAGGAGGAGGAGGAGCAGCAGCAGCAGCAACAGGAGAAGAAGGTGAAGAGGGGATGGGGGGGAGGACGAGGACGAGGAGAAACATGATCCAGAGCAGGGGGAGGACGACGAGTAGAAGGAAGAGGAGGAGGAGGAGGAGGAGGAGGAGGAGGAGGAGGAGAGGAGGAGAGGAGGACAGGAAGGAGAAGGAGAACGTAGGGGAGGAGGAGGAGGAGGAGGAGGAGGAGGAGGAGGAGGGAGGACGAGGAGGAGGAGGAGGTGGAAGAGAGGAGGAGGGGAGGGGAGGAGGGGAGAGGAGGAGGAGGAGGAGAAGGAGGAGGAGGAGGAAGAAGAGGACGAGGAGGAGGAACACCAGGGGGAGGAGGAGGAGAAGGAGGACGAGGAGAAGGAGAAGGAGGAGGAGAAGGAGAAGGAGGAGGAGAAGGAGGAGGAGGAGGAGGTCGATAAGGAGGATGAGGATACCGGATGGTTTCGAGGCCAGCTCGGAGGCATTGTTTTCGGGATGCCGCGAGCGACACGCATAGAGTAGACGTGTTGAAAACAACCATGCGGTGCTTCAATACATTCGCTTCTTGGGCTATCTTGGAGGTCATCCAAGAGCGCTCCGAAACTCAAGCCAGCTTCTGGCGCATCCCATTTCCCGAGCGTGTCACCGGCGAAACGGCTATGTTTGGATTTTTCCAGATGAGGCCAGCGATTTCAACACTCCCCCGGCGACACGCATACGTCTTAAAATACTACTCCACGATCGCGATTTGGCGAGCTTGTCTCAGGCGACACGCCCTTGCTTGGAACCTTTCCTGACATGAACAGGGGGAGCGTAGAAGTGAAGAGTTGCGTAAGAACTTGCGCCACCATCGCGATCACATGTAATGTAGGCGAGCTCTCCGAATGCCCACATGGGATAAGTATGGGCACGCGCCCCCCGAACGCTCAACAAACAGATACTTGAGTATCCCCCCACTCCTTCGCATTAGTAGGACGACAGCGAAGACGACTACATGCCTCGCAGGGGGAGGAGAAGGAGGAGGAGGAGGAGGAGGAGGAGGAGGAAGAGGCGGAACAGGAGGAGGAAGAGGGGGAGAAGGAGGACGAGGACGAGGAGGAGAAGGAAGGGGAGGAGGAGGAGGAGGAGGAGGAGGAGGAGGAGGAAGCACGAGGAGAAGGAGAAAGAGCAGGAGCAGGAACAGCAGCAGCGGGAGAAGAGGGTGAGACGGGACGGGGGAGGGGAACGAGGAAGAGGAGGAACCGGAGCAGGAGGAGGAGGACGAGGAGGACAACGGAGAGGAGGAGGAAAGAAAAGGAGGCAGAAGGACGGGGAGGGGAAGGAGGCGGAGTAGGAGGAAGAGGACGAGGACGAGGAGGACGAACAGGATGAGGAGGAGGAAGCTGCGGCGGAGGAGGGGGACGAGGGGGAGGACGAGGAGGGGCAGGAGGTGGAGACCAGATGGTTCCGAGGGCCAGGCCGAAGGCATTGTTCAGGGGATGGTTTGAGCGAGACGCGGCTGTTTGAGCGGATGTTTGACCGAACGCGCTGGAAACTCATGGGTGTGTCAATAAGTTCGGTTCTTGGGTCATCGTGGAGGTCTGTCCAAGCGCGCTTCCCGTCATCCGACCAGTCGCGGGCGGAGGTTGCACCCCACGCGTTCCGCCCCCGAAACCCCTTCGGTTGATAAAAGATCCCGCTGGGCCCGCAGACGTTCGTCACGCGACGCTCTGGCTCTGAGTGCGCTTCCTGTCATCCGCCAGGTCCCGAACATCGAGTGCATCCCGCGCGTTTCCCTTCCTGGTCCTCCCCAGTTGATAGAAGATCCCTCTGGGCACGTGACGTCCATCGCGCGACTTCTGAGTCTAAACGGTTTTTTGAAGACGCACCCCCAACACTGAGGTTTTGCGAGCATTCACAGAGCCAACCGCACGGTCGGCCCGCGCGTGTGCGCGTCCACGGACGCAACATACAAAGCTTACCACCCACTGGTGGGAAGCCCGCACATCAGTACGCGACCCTATGGCCACGGGCTGGCGGCGAGCAGTGATTTTCAAACGGCGCAACGCATCATGCGCAGGAGAAACTTAGTGCAGCGTAGCGGGGGCCGCCCTTACCAGCAACGCGAAGTTGGCAACGCTCAAGGCTATACAAGGGCAGGGCTGCGGGCCGAGCCAAACTCAACATCACCAACGCGGCGGGCCAACAAGCACGGAGGGCGGACGAGGAGGCACAAGCGCTGGAACAAAAAAAACAAATTGCACCAGGCGCTTGCAGCAGACTTTACTGAAGAAGTGAGCGCTGGTGCATGCAACCTGGTGGACTCACCTGAAGTAAACCCAACATCCCAGTCTACTACTTCACTTCCTTGAGCTCACGGCGTTGAGCCAGGAGCACGGTCGTCGATGATCATAAGTCCCGCAAGTTCTTGTCACTTCAACGCCCCACAGAGGGCGTAGAAGTCGATGTGTGGCTTGCGTTGCAGACGTATGCCCACCAGTTGTCCCAGCCGCCACCGTTGTGTAACTGTGCTACCGCCCCCTGAAGCAATCCGCGTGGACTCCAGCCATGGGGGAGGCGTGATGATGTAGTCGGGGTGACCCCAGATCCGAACTCCGGGCGGGTAGGTGGTGTAGCCGCCAGAGGTAACCACATAGCTTGAGCGTGCCGCAACGTCCTGGCCTTCATGCAGGTCGACCTCAGGCCACACCCGCCCTCTGGCGAGCAGAGCGCGGTGGGCGCGGTGATAGCTTCATATGCTGTGCACTGGCCTGCCCCCGTCATAGTAGCTATCCTGCGACACGGAGCTCCACGGTGGTCGTGCCGCCACCGAACGCTCGCCCCTCCAGCGTAGTGAACTTCGGCTAGCGATGGTGCGCAGGAGAGAAACGGAACATGACAAGTCCCGCCATCGACTGATGATCATGCTGTGCGGGGGTTTGCGACCCCGCAGACACGAGAAACGACGCCAGAATCGTTCGAGCCAGGGCCTTCTAAACGGTCTTCCCGTCATCCGCCAGGTCCCGGA